GATATGATTATTCCGGTAAATGATTTGTTAGCATTTCAGGCGTTCGATGATTATCCTAAATCATTTGGTGATATCATTCTTAAATATTATGTTTTCAGGGATACTTTAGTATTTTTGTCAGGTTGACCCGTTAAGAGTTGCTGATTTACAAAATTACGTTTATGAAAAGATAACTGATGAAAATTATGAAAAGATTATGAATCATGTTTATAAATATGATCGCAAATTCCAACAAATCGGACTTCCTACCAAATTAATTACAAGCTTAGCCGCTACATCTGCTGAGGCAACAGTTGATGACGTTATTATTTCATGCACAAAGATGGAAGTTTTAGAGGATAAATGCATTACACCAGGATACGGTTTAATTGAAGAATCAGTTAAAGCAATACCACGTTTATTTAGTAAGGAAGATCCATTCATGATTCCAGCTCAACATATTGACGTTCGTTCACTAAATGGAGGTTGCATCACTCCTGAAGGTATTAGCTCAGATTTCTCATACGCTCTTCATAATGTTACAGATGTTGTGTTAACATTTCCGAAGAATGCAATGCAAAGAACGGTTTTAGAAAATCCAATGCTTCGAGGTCTTCAGGTCACTATAGATTCCAGAAACTTCCCCGATCAAGCGATGACCACAGTGGGCGACATATTCTTTACACGTATGCTTCAAGCTTCTGATTTAGATGGAGTGAATGAATGCACAGAAGAATACGAGGACTCATTAACTAGACCACTGAATGCAGATGATGGCACACCATTAGCTAGAACATGGAAAGACCAAACTTCATTCTTATGCACTATTCCAGTTCAACGTGATGGAGCGGGTATATTCTTTGATGGATTAGAAACTTTCAACTCACAAAGTTACAGTACAAGTGAAAGCTTATCCAATCATTCAGGGTGAAAATGACCTTACTGTTCAAAGGTGACAAATCCTCCTCAGGTTTGGTTTACTAGGACTACATATTGGACATGGACACCGGACGAAGGTTTGAAATATCATCCAACAGGTACACCACCACAGTATAGAAGTTCATATGATGAAATATTGATGAATAGAAATGTTTAAAATTATAAATTTATTTTTGATTAAATGGATTTAAATTCATCCACCCTTATGAAGAATTAGCGGGAGTATATAATACATACGTAGATGATATGATTAATGAAGCATTGAGTGATAATAGAAATGCTCTATCTAAGGAAAAATTAATGAAAAATTCCATATTCTGAATGTTACTTAAATTCAATCACTGCAGCAATTGGTAAACAGAATAAAGGTAAAACATTAACGATATTAAAACAAATTATCATTATTGCTAAACACTTCCCCCCATTCACATGTGTTAATTTATATCAACCGTTCAGGTTCACCTTCAGATGATACATTTGAATCTTTAAAGCATTTAATCAAAATTCCAATTATTTATTTATCACAAAGAAGAAGCAGAAGATTATTTAAAAAACTTTTTAATGTATAAAGAATTATATAATACAATCAAGAAGCAAGGATTAGAGGATAAAATTATTGATAAACAACGGGATGAATTATTTGAAACACTTTCTATTTCAAATTTTGATAGAGAATTTTTGCATTCACTCATTTTTCTAGATGATGCCGTGAAATCAAAACTAATAACAAATGAGAAATCATATTTTATTCAGTTATTAACTCAATGTCGACACATTCAGTGTTCATTCTTTATGGCTGTTCAATATTTCAAAGCATTAAGCAAACATTAAATCAAATCTATCAACACTTTTCATTTTCAGTGGGTTTAGTCGTCAACAGTTGAACGTTATGCTTATCAAGTGAATTTACCAATGAGCATTAATGAACTTTACACACAATATCAGCAATTAGGTGAACATGGAAAAATAATAGTTGATTTAAATAAAGGAAGTGTTAAATTTGATTAACTTTTTATAATTAATTTTATTTTTTATTTATAATTAAACATGACAGAAATGGCAAATCTTCTACAGGTTCCATTAAAACAAGGAACAAACAAAAAGGGTGCATATAATAGAACTATGAAAGTTCCTGATGGAATGAAAGAATTAGTTCATATTGTTGCTGGTCTTCAAAAAGATGTTAAACAAATGAGAAACGTTTTAACATTACCAGAAGCTCAAGCATATGCCAAACGTCAAGGTCCAAATTGGGAAGCACACACGAAGCAGACATTACGGGTCCAAATGAAAACCTGATGGTATAAATGAATTTTCGTTACTGATGGACAAGGGAATATTAAAGTCATAAATGGTTACAAATTAACTATAACTGATTATCCTAAAACGTAAAGCATATAATGAACGTTATCCTATGCAATTTGATGAAAATGGAAAAGCTGTTAAACAATACATTGGAGAAGGTGAAAATGGTCCAATTAATTCATACCGTTATAATCCATATTCTTATTTCAATGAAGAATTAAATGCTATTGAAGAGGGACCGGATGGATTACCACAATATTCTAACCAGTTTGATGGTCAATATGCAAATATTAGACCTGAAATTTCAGCTAAGAAATTCTTTAAAGTTGCTTTATTCGATCCAGTTTTCGCAAATGTTAAAGATGAACTTAAACATCAATTCCAACCAATTATAGTAGCAAGAATTGCATCAGGTGCTTTATCTCAAGCATTCAAAGATTTAATTAAGAAACCATTATATCAGCAACGAGGTTTAACTTATGATTTAGTTAAGGAATTAGATAAAAGAAAATTTGAGAAATCAGATGATTATAAGAATGCAATTAATGAATATATTAGGTCTATTAATTACAATGAACCAGCTAAAAATCAACTTCAAGAACAAATACAGGGAATAATAGATTCAAAACTTCCAGCAAAATAAAAGTTTAAATATATTTTTTTTATTCGAATATAAATGAGAAGACGTTTCACTAGTCAAAAGAACACTAACGCAAAAGCAGAGATTACGGTTGGTTATAACGTAAATGATGATAAATCACGAATTATTCAAAATGTTAAAGTTAATGTTAGCCCTGAATTAACAAGGTCAGCAACTCAACCAAATTTATTAACTCGTGACTTACCGAAAAAGGAGGAGGAGCAAAATAAAGAAGATGGAGACCCAATCATTTTATCTGAACCCGGTAAAGAACCTGTTGAAATTCCCACTTATCCAACATACCCCCCACCTCTTTCATCAAACATCGAGAACCCATATAAAATAGACATTAATTCTGAATTAATGAAAATTTACCGTGATATAATAATTAATAATTATGATTCAATAATAAATTTAATTGACCAATCCGGTTTAATTATTTTACCTTATGAATCATTAATTCACATTATCGCCATTCTTTGTGATGTTCAAGATTCAGACGTTAAGATTCAATTTTTCATAGATGATGAGGTTTCATGCTGCGGAACAGTTGCAAAAATAAATCCTATAAAGGATATTAGCACAATTAAGATATCAAAGAACGGAACAACAACTGAACTTCATTTAACATATAATGATATTTATAATAAAATAGTTGATGAATATAAAATATCACTTGAAAAATTCTTTGTTAAGGCTATTTAATATTCAAGCATTAACATTATCGAATAATAATCCTTTGAATCATAATCAATAATAATTGACCTTTCACCAGTTTCTATCGTTTGTTTTATTTCTTTTTGTTCCCCACTATCCGGATCGGTCATTGTAATTGTTTTTGTTATAGTATCAGCTTTATCTTTAACTTCAATCTTTTTTCCATCGGGATATTTAAACCAAAATTCCAAAAATTCGATATTGTCAATCTGTTCATATTTTAATCTATCAATTACATTTTTAATACCATCTGAAAATCTTATGAAATGGTCATTATATGGGTTTGATTGAACTAAATTTGAATGAAGTGAAATATAACCTGTTGATGAATATGACACTGACTCATATTTTCTGAAAACACTAAAATTTATAACATGAATGAATTTCTTATTCGTTGAATTTATGAATTCATGAGGTAATCTTATTCTAGTTTTATTTATCACTGGAAAATAACGCTTTACCATATTTTTAATCGTAATAAAAATGTCAATTATCAATATTATTTCGAATAATAACTGTGAATTAAATTTAACAGTTAGCGGAATTTATAATGTTACTCTCGTTTCTGTGAGTGGTAAATTTAATCCCATTCTTTTAGACCCTTCAGATTATATATCATTTATTAAAGATGACCTTGAAAAAACGTATGATATGTATATAAATAATGTGATAGCGAAATGGGATATTAACATGATTTTAAGTTATTTAAATGAATCATTTATCGTATGGTATGAAGAAAATTTTAAATCAAAACCTGATAAACTTTTTGAACTTGATGAAATAAATAACCTTATTAAATTCCCGCTGAAAATTAAATTTTGTACTCCTCATCTTCGTTCATTGTTGGGGATATTAAATTTTGAAAAAGATGTTGGGGATGTTTTGTATTCTGACACTGGTTCCAATTTCATTTTAATCAAATGTGATAAAGTTAATACCCCAATGAGATTTTCACATCAAACATTAGACCCTAACTCTTACCCATCAATACAAAACATTTTATCCATCAACTTAAACACATTTTATTTATCATATCCGTTTCAATTATCCGGGAATTCATTTATTCTTCATTCAAAAGATTTATCAAATATTAAATTTAGAATAACTGACCTATTTGATTGTGATTTAGAATTTATGAATGAAATATTATGGCAATTTCAAATAGAGAAAATAGCTGATGAGATAACGGATTAAATATTTATTTTTAAATCATAATAAATGATTAAACAACAGCAACTTAAGGCGCAAAGCGCCCAGGTCCTTCAGACCATTACATACGCCATATATGCATATAATTCAAAGACGGCAGAACAAACGCAAAGGTTGAAATATGGAGATTTGGAGATAGTATTGAAAAATGACCGTTTCGAATTCGTTTGCAAAGGTGGTGCAGTGATATCAAATATAAGAAATTTTATTTATGAATTCAAAAATTAAAGGAATAACGGATGATATAACATCAATTCCACCAGAAGAACAGAGATATTACGCATTAAATGCATTTCCTAAAGTTTTGAAGATTGGAAGATTTAATTTAAATGAGGAATTCATAGAAGGTTTCCTAAACGACATAATGAAGAAGGTGGATAAGGAATATGTGGATAGTGAATTAAATAAGAAGGCAAATTTGGTTTATGTTGATGAAAAAGATAATGAAATTAAAGAAAAGGTTGAATGGTATCATGAATGGACATCGGAGACTTTTAAAGTTAAAGCTGATACAGGATGGGTTTCAAGATGTTTAGACCTTAAAGCAGATAAAACTTATGTTGATGAAAAAGATAATGAAATTAAAGAAAAGGTTGAATGGTATCATGAATGGACTCGGAGACTTTTAAAGTTAAAGCTGATACAGGATGGGTTTCAGGATGTTTAGACCTTAAAGCAGATAAAACTTATGTTGATGAAAATTATGCAAAGAAGTCGGAAGTAAATGATGTGATTACAAGCATGAAAAATGAAATACTTCAAACATTATATCCTGTTGGTTCTATTTATACGTCAATGAACTCAACAAATCCCGCAACAGTTCTGGGTTTTGGTACGTGGAAGCAGATTGTAGATAAATTCTTATACTGTGCTAGATATTCAAAGCAAACAGGAGGTTCGAAGAAAATTAAAGAAGCAAACCTTCCACCGCACACTCATACAGGAACGACAAACTTTTCTGGCGACCATAGCCACTCATTAAGAGACCACCCATTATACAACTCAGAATATAAAGCTGGCAATGATGTTTTATCTCCATCTTATAACAATGCAGCAAAAAAGATTTTTCGACCAACTGAACCGGGAGGAAATCATTCACACACTTTCACAACAAATCCAACAGGCTTGGGTAAAGATTACATGCCACCATTTGTGACTATATTCGCATGGTACCGCGTTCATTGAATGTGCTTGAGCCCAGACCTTTGGGTCAAGGCTTACCGAATGAATTAAATATATTTTATGTCTGTAATTAATTAGGTAATGAAGTAATGGATGAACTGCAGAAATATATTTTATTTTTATATAAATGGATACCCCACAAGCTCAAAATTTACCACGAATCATAACAAGGGAGGAAATGATAAAAATGATGCAAGAACGAATTAAAAACAACAAACCACGAAAACCGAGAAGAACCCAGAAGGGTTCGGGAAGAGGAATAAAAATTAAATTTGGATTGAGTTTAAAAATTCATCTTTATTAAATTCATCTCTTCCAATCAATTTATTTATTCTATTAAATTCTTTTATTTTTGCTTCACTCAGTTTAAGGATTGAACGGTAAGTTTCTAATTTTTCGATTATTTCTTTCCTCTCTTTATCGTTTTCAGCCCCACCGCATTGCGGCTTCTTTTTGCAATAGCATATTTTTGATTTAATTCTGTTTAGTTTCTTTTTATATTCATTGTCTGGACTCTTGGCTGCTTTGTTGTCACTCATTTCTTACGAAATAAAAAAATTAAATATTATTTAAATATAATGGAGTAATAAAATAAATCGGAATTTCTATTAATTTATTGTCAACTTCAACTAATGCATTGCCGTTAATATATCTAACAAATTCAGCTATTGTGTCAAATCTTCGTCTTCTTTTTGTCATTGATTTATCAGTTTTTCCATAATCGAGATGAATCAAAACTTTATCCCCTTGTTTAAAATTCATGAGCCCCGAATTAATTTGTTCACGTTTAACATCATTCAACCTTTCCATTTGCTATCTTGAAATCCTTTTTAAAATCTTTTTGCTTCTTTAATGTTTGAAATGGATATAATAAAGTGAATGATGAAGGATTAACTGAAGGAGGAGGAGGTACTGTCGTTGGAGGTTTTGGTGTTGCAAGTGGTTTAATTTTATCTGCTTTGATTTTGGATTTCATTCCCCCCTTCATTAATTCTGGATGTATTCTATTCATTTGTTTTAAATATGCTGTATATAAAGGTTTGATATACTTTCCCGCTTCGAGTTTATGTTGAAGGATGAATTCCAAAAGTTGATCTTCATTTAAAAGTCGGCTGAATATGGTTTAACTAATGAATCATAAATTAAAGCTTGTGCTTCATTTATGGTCTGAAGGACCTGGGCGTTTTGCACCTTTTGTTTTTGTTCCTTTGTTTTTTGCGGCTCATGATTATATAATTTATATAGTTCATCAATATCTTCTTCTGTTAATACTTTATTTTTGAAATCTTTCAATTGTTTAAGTTGTGATTTAGTTTTTTCCTTTGTATATTCATTATTTTTAATTTTGTCTTTAATTTTAGAAATTATTTTATCATGATATTTCAAAATTTCATTTTTATAATATGGATAATAATAATCCATATCATCATCCGTTATATTGTTATTATGTTTTTGGAGATATGATTTTAATTCATAATAATTAAGAAAATTTTGATTAAGTACTAAATCATAAATTAAATTTTTTAAATCTGTGTTATCCATTTATATAAAAATAAAATAAATGTTTAAGGGTGCCCACCTCTTTGAATCATAGTATCAAAACCATCATTAACGGTTCCTTTTGTCTCTTCTGTGGCATTTTATTAAAAATAAAATTTTAAATTGTATTAAATAAATGGCATACAACATCCATTTTCACAACATACAGCCTTAGTGTGTGCTCCTGTTAATGCAGTCTTACCGATTGTTAAGCGAGTCATTGACCCGTTTTTAAGTTGTAAATTAATATTCTGACCATCAAATATCACTTTATCATTTATTATATCCAAATAATTTTTAGGTGTTAATTGTTTATTTTGTCGTAAACTAACACCTTTCATTTTTTGTGCAATCTTTTTAAAATCACTTCCATCAATTGAACCGTTGAATGATGTATAACACTTAGGGCATAAAGCAACCATGTTATCACCTTGTTTCTCAATTGCTAAACCCAATAACTTCTTCTCATGTGCTTTTTCTTCAGCTTTATTCTTTAATTTAGGTTTAAATTTCTCATCAAAACAGAAGAAATCAAATGGTGCGAATTTGAAAATGTTTTTATCATAAAATTGTTTATCGGTAACAATTGCTTGAAATGCTTGAGTGTTAGGAAGATTTGGGTCGCCAGCGATTGCCCAATAAGATGAATCAGTATCACCTTCAATGAAATGAAAACGATTAACATTCAAGCATTTATACATAAAATCATAAATGAAAACCAAATACCAGTATTTAGCATTATCTAAAGTGAAGAATGCCTCTTGTAAACATGTATCACATCTATAAAATCTATCTTTAAGCATCACTTGATATGTATCTTCACCTATTTCTCTTATGTTTTTAAACTTATTTGACATACATGCAACGCGTGCCTTCTGTGCATTCATTATTTTAGTCTTTGTGTAATTTTGTGTATTCATTGCATCGTAACCATATGATCCATTAAGTGAAATCTTGCAAAATAAACTTTTTCCTTTATTTCCTTCTAATTCAGCCTTTTGTCTTTCGTTCATAAATTTGTTCGCAAATTCATTAAAACAAGTGTTTTTAGTAAATGTTAAAATTGATTGAATGTCATCAATGATAAAATAAAATCTGTCTATTAGATACCAAAGATAATAAGAAGAAAATGGTTGATATTGGTTGTGTGTTGATGCTAACTGAGTTAATTTCCTCTGTTTCTGGTCAACCGGTAGATTGTTTGATTTCATGTAATTATACATAAAACTGCCAATTGTTTTTTCATCTGTGATAATATCTAAGTTTCTTATTATCGGTAAAAAGTTTATGTAATCATTAATGTATTTTTCATCAATGTGACCCTTTACTTCAGCCACGAATAAAGTATTTTTCTTCTTAATTATTCCCAGTGCTTTTGCTTTCTTTGTTGCTGTATCACAAATGATAACACCATTCAATCTTCCCGGCATATACATTTTATGGTTAGTATATTGAATGAAATCATGAGGATTAGATGAAAATGATGAAGGATATAATGAATTAAAATCAACACCAACGAAATGAGTCATAATGTTGGTGGTGTCCTCATTTGATACAGTTTTAGTTTCTGGATTATATGCAAGTTTATTAATGTGCGTGATTCCTTTAAGATTTACTCTATGTTGAACATTTGATAAACCATCAGTAATTCCATTACGGAGAATGTGATAAGCTTCAACTGAATCTAAAGTCATTGGTAAATTATTTTTAATGCATAATTTCTTAAATTGATTCTTAAACGTTGAACATCTTCATCTTTATTTGATTTTACGACATTGCAATAACAACACATTAACTGACAATTTTCTTTGGTATGTGGTTTTTCATTATCGATTCTATCCAATGTTGGTTTATTTGCATATGTAAACGATTTACCACACATTTTGCATTTAGATGAAAGGATTAAATCGTGATAGTATTGAAAATCATCCATTGAAACATTATTTTTAGTATCCCTTTCTGCTTTTTCATCTTGTTTCTTATATGATTCAATTTTATATTTCCAATACTTTTTCGTTAATTCAAAACTTGATTCTATCTCTTCCTCAGGATATTTTTCATTAGGATTAAAGTCTTTATATGCTAAAGCGTAACGAATCATTGAAGCATTCGATGATAAAGAAAGATTATGAAGCGTGTCAATTTTATAAACAAATGTTTCTTCAATAATTTTATCGATTGGGTCAATCATAATTTCAACATCTTTATTGCAATAATGAATAAAATATTCTAATATATTCTTAAAATTTTTAGCATCATTGAGATATATTTGATAATCACTATCTGATATAGTTTCTTGGGTTAATGCTGAATAAAATGAATCTTTCGTGAATGGTTCCTCTTTATATAATTCTTCTTCGTAATTCTCCCATGTGATGAATTGATAAGGGAAAAAGGATTTAACACGTGATTTATTGTTTCCGAAATCTTGAGTGAATTGGTCTAATGTCCCACCCGCTATATAATTTCTGATGTCAATAAATCTCAATTCATATGGAACGTTTGTTTTCTTTACAATGATTTGCTTAAATTGTGAAGATGAACCCAGCATTGATTTTATTTTCCATTTTGCAGTGTTTAAATCACGAAGAATTAAATTTAAATCAAACTTTCCCGAATTAAAACCTATGATATTCACTTTATTGAATTCCTCATCTAGAAGTTCTTTAAATGCTTCCTTCTGTTTTTCATTTAATGTATGGGACAAAGTCCCAGCCGTTTGCGACTTCAATAATTCATTGTATTGACTCATATTTGATTCAACAACTAATGAACAGGTTGAAAATAAAAACTCAATCCAATCAGAAATAAAAGAATCACTCGAAGTTAAGCAAAAATTCCTCGTATATGTTTTATCGTTTAATTTAACCGTTGATGATACCATGAATGGTTTTAAGTAAGCGTTCAAAGTTGCACACTCAGAAAGTTGTAATTCTTCTTTAGTCTCTAATGTTTCAAAGTCAAAAGTAATATAATATCTTGTCGGTTGATAATATTCCTGCAAATTGTGAGCTAATAACCACTGATATATCTTCTGTTTCGTAATATGTGGTGCATATGGTTGCTGTGTCTTTTGCAACTGAACGTCTTGAATTAATCTTCCATTATTTTCTTTACATTTCTCACAATGCTTTAAAAATCTTCTTTGGTTTTTCCTTTCTGGATCATCACGGATAGAATAAACTTCTTCTTTACAAAATGGACAAACTTTATAGCCAGTGAGTGCTTCAACGTCTGTTATTCTGTCAGCGTGAAGTTTTCCACATGGACTCTGTGTTAATAAAATATTTACTGTTTCAAATTCTGGATCTATCATTATTGATTCCACTAATGGAAAGTCTACCTTATTTATGTCCACGTCTTCTGGTTGAGGATCACAATAATAGAAATCAATATTAACATTTAACATTCTCGCTAATCTCTCACTTTCTGATGAAATGTCAAACCCTTCATATGCATCTATTGCTTCATTTAAATAGCTCCTACGAGTTTTAGGATTAGCACCATCAGGAATGTTATAGAAGCGTTTAAATAACCTTCTACCTTCTGCTCTAATTTGATTATCATTCATTTTAGCTGTTCCGTTTTTGTTCATTTATGTAAGAATAAAAAATTAAAAAATAAATAAAAATAAAGTTTATTTTTTAAAGCCCATAAAATGAATTAAAAACACATAAATTTTTATCATCTGCGACGTGACGAATACATTTTAATTTACTCAAGAATGCGTACCCTGATACATTAAATCTAATTCCTGTCTTATTTAATTTCACAACTTTGAAAAGGAATGTATGAATAGCTATAAAATGATGAGAAGATGTTTTATGGGTTGCTTCCATTTTTTCTGAAATAAATGAATAAATATAATGTTTATAAGTTTTCATATCTTTTATGTTCTTAATAACGAATGGTATAGACATTTCCACTTCATCTTCCTTCGGTGCTGTTCTTTCATATGAAACATTATTAGTATCTTCAACAATGAAACCGCAATCACATAAAATTTTATAGGTTCCAATGGTTTCTTTTGATATTTTATCTAATAAATCAAAAACTTTATCAACACCTGTGCATTTATTTAAATAATAATTTGTGTAAATATCATGATCTTCTTTCTTAATCGTATTAGTTGCATATGTCACGTTTTTAAGAGCTTTTTTGAATTTCTCAGAATCTAAAGGTGGTGAAAGTAGGATACAGGGGTATTCTTCATTATCAATAAATTGTAACTTATGTTTACGAATAAATTTAGTACCTTCTTCTGAAAGTGTTTCGTCTATTTCACCATCTAATAAATTTTGTGTTGATTCTGAGACATAATTTTTATATCTTTCTTCATGAGATTTCTGAACTTCTGATTCTGAAGCTGGGATATTCATTAAACCCTCTACTTCATTTTCATTATATTTTTCAACTTCTCTTAATTCCTTAATTTTTTCATCTATTTCATCTCTTATTTTTTTCAGTCTTTCAATTTCATTGTATTCATCATCTTTAATCCGTTCTTCATAATATTCAGGGAAAACATCAGGTTCTTTAGGTTTTTCTTCTTCAGATGTGGGATATAAGAAATTTATAACATCATCTTTATTCATTTTTCCATCATAATCTAAATCATTTAATAACTCCGCGAATTTTTTACAATTTCTTAAATAATATTTATCAACTTCATAACCCACCTCCTCTAATATATCCTTTATTTCCTCGTTTGTGAATCCTAATTTTTTAACGTTGTTAGTTTTGACGCTCATTTCATACAAAATAAAAAATAAAATAATAAACATAACTTTTTAATTTTATTTCTAATTTCTTTTACTCGTTTATGAGGTCTTTGATTATGACTCCATTGATTCCATTCAGGATTTAAACAATGTTTAATTAATCGCGGAATATCTGACATCATCTATATATAGCTTCTTTTATAAAAGATAAAAAAATAAATTATTTTAAAATTAATGTTAATTTTTTAATGATTTATTTCATTATGTTTGGGCTGAGTGTAAATGTCTTACAATTTTGAAAATTTTTTAAATCTTGATTTATTCAAAAACGTAAGAATAAAAACCGTAAGAATCATACATTTTTTACTTCATATGTTAAAAAAAATGATACAAAATCGCTCGATATTGTATGAATTCTTACGTTTACAAAAAAAGTCACTAAACCCATCATATCCTACTACTTCCAAATATTGCAAAATTGCATTTAAACAAGTTAAGGAGAATACTATATTAACCGTGTTGTAAGGAAATATAACAATTTTAAAGATTTTGCGACAGAATTTGAAAAAATATGAAAATCAGATATATAAAAATTGAATAAAATAACATTATGATGGAATATAAGTAGATGAGCTATTAATGCTGCTATGATTTAAAATTGAGTAGTAATGAAATAGAATTTCGATTAAAAAAATTAATGTAATCGTATGAAAGCTAATTAATATTCGCAAAAATTTTAACCTACTAATAAAATTCTGATTATATTAAGATATTTTAAAAATGAGATTCCAAATTGAATGGTGATGGAGATGAAAATTTTTAAAAATATAAATAAGAGGATAAATTGATTGAGATATTAACTAGTAAATATTTGAAAAAGTAAATTATTTGAAATCCTTTAAAAATGTTACGGATAAAAGCTATATAAATAAAATGACTGGTGTGGTTGGTTAGCATAATGTGTAATATCAAAAAGAATTAATGGGTGTTGTGAAGTGAGCAACTTTGAGAAGAATCATTTGTGATTCTTGTCAAAGTTGAATCAAAGACAACAATTGATAGACAACTGTTGTCTTTGTGTACAACATTCACTTGAATTATAAACAATAACAAGTGTTTGTTGTTCACTGAGCAACTTTGAGAAGAATCATTTGTGATTCTTGTCAAAGTTGAATCAAAGACAACAATTGATAGACAATTGTTGTCCTTGTGTACAACATTCACTTGAATTATAAACAATAACAAGTGTTTGTTGTTCACTGAGCAACTTTGAGAAGAATCATTTGTGATTCTTGTCAAAGTTGAATCAAAGACAACAATTGATAGACAATTGTTGTCCTTGTGTACAACATTCACTTGAATTATAAACAATAACAAGTGTTTGTTGTTCACTGAGCAACTTTGAGAAGAATCATTTGTGATTCTTGTCAAAGTTGAATCAAAGACAACAATTGATAGACAATTGTTGTCCTTGTGTACAACATTCACTTGAATTATAAACAATAACAAGTGTTTGTTGTTCACTGAGCAACTTTGAGAAGAATCATTTGTGATTCTTGTCAAAGTTGAATCAAAGACAACAATTGATAGACAATTGTTGTCCTTGTGTACAACATTCACTTGAATTATAAACAATAACAAGTGTTTGTTGTTCACTGAGCAACTTTGAGAAGAATCATTTGTGATTCTTGTCAAAGTTGAATCAAAGACAACAATTGATAGACAATGGTTGTCTATGTGTTCGATAAACACGTGTTATTTATGAATATACACGTGTTTGTTGTTCACTGAGCAACTTTTAGAAGAATCATTTTGTCATACTTTGAAACACAAAATAGCATATTATGCTTTTATTTATCTATATGTGTCATTTTGGGAGACATTGTCTATGCAAGTCTCCCAGAATGACACATTCATACACAATCTTCTTCTGATTGTGTATCTTTTGTCAACAAAGTGCAACAGTGCACTGTTATTGTGTGCTATGCGTCATTGTGGGAGACATTGTCTATGCAAGTCTCCCAGAATGACACATTCATACACAATCTTCTTCTGATTGTGTATCTTTTTCAACAAAGTGCAACAGTGCACTGTTATTGTGTGCTATGCGTCATTGTGGGAGACATTGTCTATGCAAGTCTCCCAGAATGACACATTCATACACAATCTTCTTCTGATTGTGTATCTTTTGTCAACAAAGTGCAACAGTGCACTGTTATTGTGTGCTATGCGTCATTGTGGGAGACATTGTCTATGCAAGTCTCCCAGAATGACACATTCATACACAATCTTCTTCTGATTGTGTATCTTTTGTCAACAAAGTGCAACAGTGCACTGTTATTGTGTGCTATGCGTCATTGTGGGAGACATTGTCTATGCAAGTCTCCCAGAATGACACATTCATACACAATCTTCTTCTGATTGTGTATCTTTTGTCAACAAAGTGCAACAGTGCACTGTTATTGTGTGCTATGCGTCATTGTGGGAGACATTGTCTATGCAAGTCTCCCAGAATGACACATTCATACACAATCTTCTTCTGATTGTGTATCTTTTGTCAACAAAGTGCAACAGTGCACTGTTATTGTGTGTGCTATGCGTCATTGTGGGAGACATTGTCTATGCAAGTCTCCCAGAATGACACATTCATACACAATCTTCTTCTGATTGTGTATCTTTTGTCAACAAAGTGCAACAGTGCACTGTTATTGTGTGCTATGCGTCATTGTGGGAGACATTGTCTATGCAAGTCTCCCAGAATGACACATTCATACACAATCTTCTTCTGATTGTGTATCTTTTGTCAACAAAGTGCAACAGTGCACTGTTATTGTGTGCTATGCGTCATTGTGGGAGACATTGTCTATGCAAGTCTCCAGAATGACACATTCATACACAATCTTCTTCTGATTGTGTATCTTTTGTCAACAAAGTGCAACAGTGCACTGTTATTGTGTGCTATGCGTCATTGTGGGAGACATTGTCTATGCAAGTCTCCCAGAATGACACATTCATACACAATCTTCAATTCTTGTTTTAATTTTGTCTCATATTAACTGAATATCTCTCTTCACCATATTTACTTCTAATACCCGACAATAACCTACCATAAAACCCCTAAATCCACTTTTTCTTCTTTCATTACTTTCAAATTCTAAGATTCAAATTTTTTTTCTATTTCATTCAGTTTTCTTTTATCAAAATCATATAACCATTCATACTGATTCTTAATTTACGATATTACATTGAGATTTCATCTTTTTTCATATTTCGAATTAAATCAGCTATTTAAACTTAATATCCGGACCTGTCAGTATTCAAATATTATTGGCCACATGTATCTGAGCATTTACACGGATTTTACCCATGTTTTGCAAAAAAAACCAAAATGATAGAGTGGGTCATAAGGATCAGTTTTGCTATAGCTTGTCCGGCTTGAAACTCAATATTCATTCGGGAAAAGACGTTTCAAAATTTTGTAAAGTATTCAAATTTGCAGCTTTGTTCGATTTGAAAATTGAAATTTGAAACGAAATGACTGTATGAATATGTTCTTCATATTGAATCTAAGCATTTCTTGGAATTTGGAGTTTTTCTAAAAAGTTTTATCGGTTGAAAAATTAAAAATAAAACAAAAGAATTTTTTCCGATTTTTTAAACGCATCTTAATTTTTTACGGACGAAGGAGTATTTGATCAAAGTTCAATAAGGCTATCACACTATATTATAGTTAGCTTGCAAAGTAAGCAATATAATCTGGAATTTAAGAATGATATAAAAATTTGATAATATAATTTTTGTGTGATTAAGTATTTAATATGAAAACATTAAATTTCATTAGGAATATTTAAATGCTGTTATGAAGGTAAAGGAT